TTTTTTACCCCTCTGTCGCTTTGAATTGTCTGGGAGGATTGCATATGATGCTAATTGGATTTTCTAGCGTCTCCGCGAAGTCACCGATCCCACATCGTCTCCATCTGTCCTTAAAGAAGAGAACCCATACCACCATCTCCGTATCACTGTTACCAGCGGAGGATGCCATGGGTTCCAGTATATGATGTCCCTGGAGGCCGCTTCCAAGATCGACCTGGAAGAAGACACCGTCTTCGAAGCAGAATACTCCCCTGAGGAAGGATCGGCTGAGGCCGCCGGCCAGGCCAAGGTAGTCATGGACGAGCCGTCTTTGGAGCTCCTGTACGGAAGTACAGTGGACTACACTATGGAGCTGATCGGCAGTCAGTTTAAGATTGTTGATAATCCCCGGGCGACGAGTAACTGTGGCTGTGGGACTAGTTTTGATGTGACTGATTGAAAGGGGGGCGATGAGATCTTGTATTTGTATATTATACTTTTGCATCTGGAGATAGAGTAATCTTTACTATACCCCCCTTCCCCTTCTCCTGACTTCTCTGCTCTTTCTTTCCTCTTTTCAATGGTGTTGGTGAGGTCTAGAGTGAATTGGAAAATTGTCATCATCTATTTCATCATGCGAATTCCTACCACATTTGTCCTCTGCTATCTAGCGTGTTGTTGTGCATGCTATGTTATGCACAGATCAAACATGTCGAACATGAACAGTAAGCAAACCAAGTATAGTTAAGCATCGAATACGCCCCAAACAAGCCTCGAGACTTTTGTAACCATCCCAAACCCGTAATCAGAGTAGAGTCCAAGGTTGCAACCCTGATGAAAACATGAACAACGAAAGAAAAAATAAAAAAAGGGAAAGGGTAAAACAAAGGAAACAAAAGATAATTCATGATATTGCTGGGGACTGAGAGGTGAGATTATGGGATGGATTTTAACTTCCCCACTGCACTTCTTCACAACCGTTGGTCCTTTCACGCCTACTTCCCCGGGTTCTGCCTCTCTTTTTTATCTCCTCTCCTATCTGCGGTTTGGTCGGAGGGGCCCTGCGTTATCGAAGGGTACCTCTGTATGTGCGCAGTTGGGAACATAGCACGTATCTCAATATTTGAGTGCGTTGCCGCCTGTTTCCTTGACAAGGGATCAGACGCTTTAGTAGACACGGGCGAGGTTCCGGAGGTACCAGTCCACCAGGCGACGGCCGGCCTTGGTCTCGCTGACGTGGATCAGGTCGTTCTCCAGAGCGTAGTCCAGGTCGTTGGCGGCGACGGGCTCACCCTCCAGCAAACCGCCCTCCACCCAGCGGACCTGACGGCTGCGCTGCTTGTTCACCAACAGCCAGGAGCGGAGCTTCTCGGGCTCGACTTCCAGGAAGCCGGCCAGCTTCTGCAGGTCCATCGTGGTGTACAGCTTCAGGTAAGAACGGATGGTAGGGTTGTACAGCGTGTTCTTGACCTCATCCATGAAGATAGCCGTGTGGTGATCGACGGGGTCGACGTTGACAGATGGGTTGTCGAAGTCGGGGGGAGTGGGGCTGATGAACTTGGGGCAAGCGGAACGGAAGAGCTCCTCAAACAGGGGGAGGGCCTCGGGGCCACCGTGCTGGAGACGGTGGAGCTGCTCGCCGTACTTCTCGCGGAGAGCGGAGTGGATGGTGTCGTCGAGACGGGTGGGGTGGAGGGCAACACAGATGGCAATGAGAGCATACATCTGGTCGTTCTTCTTGGCAATAGCGTCGTAGCTGTTGCCACCCTTCTGGAAGTTCTTGGTCCGGGAGACGTAGACCAGGATGTGGCTGAACATGCGGATGGCATCACCGTAACGGCGCATCATCATGTAGGAGAAACCCACATAGTAATAGGTGGTGAAGTGAGCTGCCATGACACGAGCGAACATAGCCTTCTTGTTCATTTCGATGTCGTCAAGGGTCTTGAGGGCAAGGCTGAAGTCACCCAGCAAGCAGTGGACACGCAGAAGTCCGATGATCGAGAAGTATCCGAGCATCTTGTACAGGGGACGAGAGCCATACTCCCCGGCGAATGCCATGGGGTCCTCTCCACGTTTGATAGCAGCCAATTGCTCATTGATCTGGGACCTCTGGATAAGGGAGTAAAGAACGTTGAGCACGGAGTAGCAACCCCAGGTGTTTGGGTTCTCACGCAAAAGCTGGGCCTCTTCCTCGTTAGAGCCGCTACGAGCGACACGGTTGCGGTAACGGCAGAACGATTCGAACTGGTAGATAAATTCATCGATCACATCCCAAGCCCAGTAGTACTGTTGGAAGGAAGATAGTCGTTAGCAAACTGTATAAGAACGGGCTTGGCGCACACAGTGGGTGGGGGCACGGGATATGCAGAACGCAGAGCACATGTAACACCCAAGGATGTCAAGCTAGCGAGCGAGTACATACAGAAGGGACCTCCAGTTCAACAGGGCCATCCGAGTTGAGGATGTAGTGGAAAAGGCTGCAGTAGTTGTCATAGCTTGCAAACTTGGTCTCCAGTGTGGCCTGGTATTCAAGCGGGGTCGCAGCAGCGGCGAGCTGTGCCTGGAGATCTTGCGTCTGAGATCCAGCTCCAAGGGATGTGGTTCGGTCCAGTTCGCTCATGCCATCGTCGAAGTTGACCTGCTCGCGGTAATCGTTGACGAGTGCTTCCTCCTCAACATCGGACTCGTCGCCCAGGTTAGGGTGCGCATTGGCGCGCTCTTCGTACGACATGTTGACAGGTAAAAAGTCTGCGGAGAGAACGGGGATGATCCAGCAAACGGTCGACTGAGGGTAGGGCGAGAGGGAGAGGGCACGTCGTTTGGCGGTAACTGCTCGGCGTCGGCGTGTGGGATTTCGATTGTTTCGGCGGCAGTTGAATTTTGAGGGTTTTCGCTTGGCCCCGATTTGTGCTTATCTTATCTGCGCATAACGGAGCTGATGAGTCATCTATGAACTGCTCGTCCATTATGGAGACCAACAGCGTCACGACGTATAGAAACTTTGAAAGCCCTGAACCTGCAATTAACAGCCATACAAGCCTCGCGATATTCTCATGAACTTATGGATAGATTGGAAAAGAAATTAGTGAAAAAAGAAACACAAATCCTGCGTATAAACTCTCGCGTCATACTCTGACAGTCTATAGTTATTCTGAGAAACTCTCTATCTCGTTTTTTCTTTTGGGTGGCTAGTTATGATGATATTGAGTTAATTTTTGGTAGTTATGCCAGGCTTCCTAGGGGCTTTCCTCGGAAACCAATTTTGTCCTAGATAATAAACTAATAAACCCCAAAGTGAGCCTGGTTTTTGGCCACTGTATCTTAAACGCTCTAGCCAACAGCTTGTCGTCCGCATGATAATCGGTCAATGATACCAAAAAAAGGAGATAAACTCGGGGCTGTAAGGAGGCAACTAAGTGCTTATAAAATACTGCTGGACGGTTTGGTTTCGACCTTCGTGCAGGCCCAGAAACGGCAACGTAACGACAACAAACATGCTGTTGATCGCCTGATAGGATTGTTGTAATGTGGTAAGGTAAGATGCAGTCGTAGGCTGGTCAGCATGCGATTGGCGATGCCATGGATTAGGTTAGAAGAGCGTTGGTTCAATACTAAGGTCAATTAGCAAGCAACTTAGTCAAGCCCTTACCTACAAAAGACAACAAGGGCTACCCTCCGCATTGGAGATCATGAATACTCTGGAGTAAAGGTATGGAGTATAGTTGTCCAATGGTGTGGTCCCGGAAAACTCATCCAGCCGAAATCTTCTCCATCTAGTCTCATAGACCCGTGACGAGGCTCTCCTCTCTTCTCCAACTTGTCCCTCTCTTCTCTCTTCGTATCCCTCCCTTTTCTTCGCCCGAACACTTTTCATTTCAATTTCAACAATACACATGGCAACAAAAGAAGTACACTAAAGAGAAGCCTGCCAACAGTTTCCAATCTTATGAAAGAAATATGTCCCCTTACTGTCTGATCTCCCTTCTCTCTCAAACAGAGATAGTTGCCACCACTTATAGGTAGTCAACTATAATGGAGAACCACCGAGCCTTATGTATCGCATCAGGATGGTCGAAATGGAATGCTAATTCGCACAAGATGCTTCTGCATAGTGTATATACATACGCACCTTGTTCGACCGACGTACTAGCTCGCTTCACCGCTCCCTCGTGCTATACGCTTTCTCTTGGTGTCGCAAGAAGCAATCCCACATTCTGTACATAGTCGCCAAGTAAGCCGCTGGCTGATTGTCATGCTCCGGAGTTGATATACATACCATGAAAGCCCGACTTATAACCACTGGGAAGATTCCAAATTCCTGTGGTCGAGCACTGTACCGGCTTCGGGGGGGAGTTTGATCCCCATGGACTTGGCTGTAGATTCTATATTCGCGAGCATATCTCTAGCGAGGGAGAATCTCTTGCTGAAGGCCACTAGAAACCGACACAATTCAACGAATTCCTCTTTGAAATCATCTTCACACTCGTCCAAAGCAGTGAGTAAGATAAGGGAGCTTGCATTGGCAGGCTCTAGCATCTGGCCGGGAACATGTCTAAGCCCATATGCTTCATGGTATAGGAGAAGATAGTCAGCGATCTGCTTCGCTGACTGAAGTCGGATCAACCGAGCGTGGTTAACATCAGACGGAAGCAACATAGGGACAAAGTCCTCGTGGTTCACTAAAAATTCGAAGAGCAGGATGATGGCATGATGGTATCTGATACTACAACAGTTACAGTCAATATTTAGCAATCGATTAGCCAGATGGACACTTTGCTCTTACTGCAGACTCAATACTTGCGGAACTTGTACAGTCTCCTTGTCAATTTTCAGTGGGCCGGGCAGGCCTCTCAGCCACGTCTCTAGGCGAGTGTACACAGCACTTATCGCCCTAGATAGGTCGCCAATATTCATATCGAATGCCCCATCAAAAAGCAAATCTTGCATGTTGACGACAAGTTCCGTGAAGCCCACCGTTTGGATCATGATCTCACGGAGTAAGGCAGGCTTCTTCTCGTATTCAATATGGTTGGAACGAGGATATGGGATCCATACAATGTCGTCACTGACATTGTCTCTCCCAGGAGGCTCGAAGATTGGTGGTTTTAGGTTAGCGGTTTTCCGACATTCCATGGACATTTGTCTGAAGAGAACGGTCAGCCAACTCAAGGAATACGCTCGGGTCACTTAAATACTGTACGAATTGAGAATAAATAGTCCCCAAGCAGTCGCTGCTCCAGCAGATCGCAGATCAATAGACGCGTCTCTCCATTTGCGGTGCCCCGTCCTCGGGGCCTGAAAAAGCCCGATATCTTGTCCAAGCTGCACGGCTTGCCTTAACAACAGCCAGCTAACGTCATGCTTTCCTTTCAATTTCAGCCTTCAAATTGTCAGTTGGGCCGCCACTGCATATGAATGACATAGGAAAACGCGGATCACACATACACATGGCTCATCAGAGCAAGAGCCTGGATGTTGGCCAATGATGGACGACCTTCTTCCGCTTTCCATAAGAGCTCTGCCTCATTAAAGAAACATGCACCTTTAGAGGCCACATCTCCGGGGATAGCAAAAACTTCAGGAAAATCAGAATATGTCTTATCAAAGTTAGAATAGACCGCTAATCAGGTCAACAAGAAAAGACCGTGCAGAAGCACCATACATACACTTGCAATTGCTAACATGCTATTTACAAGGAAAGGGGTGCAGAATTCCGTATTCTTATTTCCCTCCCTCATATGTCTCAAAAACACTGTCTGATCAACGATTTGCGACAATGGATGATCCCATGTGAAGTATAAGGAGATCAAATGCGAAACGAGATGACCGTCGTCGGTAACGGTTGTCCAAGGCTTGACCGGCACTTGGAATACGGGGATGTCGCAAAGTTTCTCTAGGGTTATTCGAGAGTGGGCATCAGCGGCCAAACGTTCCTGTTGAGCTATGGCATCATCTGTGTTTGCTAGGGGTTTGGCGTTATCGGAACTCGCGTCACTCAAGTCGGCTGGGGCATCCACAACATTGGCAACATTGGATAACAGAGCGCTGCCGCGTATAGTCTCCAAGATATGATTGACTTTGTCTTTATCCGAAGAGCGGAGTGACTCTAGCAAGGAATACAACAAGCCTCGATAGTATTCCAGCTCGCCAAGAGTGCGTCTAGCAGCGACCTTACGCCTGAGGTCGAGCGTCTCATCGAAAACGCATTCAGCGTCTGTGTTCTGACAGGCTTTACAAGGTGCGGGGCGTCCGGTGCACTGCCATGTGGAGAAGAGACGTCAGTGGGATGTCTGTTGAGACAAACAGAAATGAAGAATAGGATCTTTTCCCTAAATTGGTTGATCTGGGGCATTGTTCTCATTCTTGAATGCAGGGGTGGAGGTTCAAGATCGTCTTACCTTCCGTTTCGCTTGCTTACACGGCAGGCAGGCCGTGGAATTTTTCCTCGGCTTCATGAGAGTGAATGGTTGTTTGTTGACGGGGCCGCGAGGCCCTGGAGCGAGCGCTGGAAGATGGTCCTCTGAAGTCATCTTAAGCCGCACATTTACTCTCCCAGGTGAAGGGGAAGATCATTGCTAATGTATAATTTCCAGTCTGCCTATTCTGCGGCGTGTCCAGCTAAAGAGATATCGGAAGAATCGAAAAGGACGGCAGCCTTATTTTAGATTTTTGACCCAGCAGGAACGATCGCAGAGTTGGGCAACATCAAAGTTATTATGGCTTTAAGAAGACCCCACCAGCTCTAGCCTTAGCTCATTTCACAGTGGTTCAACAACTTCCGAGATGTCGTTGTGATTTTTGGGCGCTTCGCATAGCAGCCATGTCTCGTTACGGCGGTTGTGATATCCCTAGCGGTCGGTGATTGCTATGAGCCTGCGTCTCCCGTACCTAAGGGCTCAGATTCGATGGGAAGGGGTTCAGGTGCATATTACAATAAGAAACATCGATTGCGAATGACCCAAAGTGTCCCTCTGCAGGGGAAATGGTGACCGGGGGAAAAAAGCCCCCAAGGTAAAGACGATTGATTTAGAAATAGTTGTATGTGAAACAGGCCCCTTTTCTTACTCTAAAATGGCTGCAGCAATGCCTCGATACAGCTGTTGTCAGGCAGTCTGGAACCGTGACTAAGACCCATGGTACCAAGCTGACTGACGCTTGGATGCACGCAGATATGAAAACTGGTTCCTGTGGGCTTAGGCACTGACTCGTGGGCAGAAAGACTTGAGCTTGCTCATCACGGGATTCTGCCGAGACTTGAGGTTCCTGATCAACAATCTTACAAAGAACCTCTCTTCCTATGCATTCTATAGGAAGTTCCGAACCACGGCTTCCGACGATGCACATGCAGCCCGTTGGGGCAGTAAGTCCTATGCCTGGTCTATTGGACAGGGGGGGCATGAAGTGGGTACTTGTCAACCGGTCCTCCTTCATTCTTGGCCTTGACATCGAGAATCCTTCAAACTCCGTCTCCAGAATCACCAAGGAGGTACCCGGTAGATGGGTGCACTCGATTCGGGTGGCGTCATTTCAGTGTATCGGAGTACCTAACCTATGTAATTATGACTTGATCACTCGGGATGGGCGACTAGTTTGGCCCTTTGTATTGTTGCGCATACGTACCTCACGCTACTTTGGATCTCCCGCTGGCGTGCCTCTATTGGGGACACGCGTATCCGGGAATGGAGCGTACAAGCGACCGATTGCCAAATGCTTGTATAATATGTGCAACTAAACCCAGCAAACAACGGACTCAACAGGTTTGGGACAACCGGCACCTGACTGGCAACCAAGCAAGGAGCATTATGATAGGACGAGTCCATGAGAACGCCCCCAGTCTAATTGAAAACTATAGCCAATACAATAGGCGGAAAAGATCACCGAATGGACGATCCTCTAACAATGAGAGTTTGCCAGACTCCTATCTCTCCTTTGTCCTACCCACGCAAATCCCGACGTTAAGATTCAGTCATTTCATAGTCTTACCAGCTCAGTATGCTTGAGCTTTGCCATCTCGATGTCGATCTTACATCAGCCCAGCCGATCTGCACTGCTGGAATCGGGAGGCGAACTTTCTCGATGAATTTCCGCCGCAATTGTCATGTCCTATCCGGATTAGTTGCTGTAAGTATTTTCAATCTCCGCATAGGAATTTGCAGGGCTGGCTACGTCAGAGTTTTCCTCTTGGACATCCTGAACCTAGCCTGGAGACGTCAAACCAGGGGCCACCGATCCACGAGTGACATAAAAGTGGCGAACAAGCTCAGCCAGCCGGCGATCCGAAACCTGGGTCCAACGCTGGGCATCACGCGAGAGCCTATTAACTATGTGGTGCTAGCAGACCACGCGATATCATTCGCCATAGAGCCTCAACCTAATATCTCTTCGCGATTCTCGTGGTTGGCAGCATGGCAAAGAAACAAAGGGCCCAGCCAGACCACCGACAACAACTACTAAGGTAGCTTAGTGGCAACCGCCCGGCGAATCGGTACGTACGGAGTACTTTGAACCGTAACTACTACTTGGGGCCTTTTCCGTCCCACTTCATTTTAATTCTCCTCCCATGCTTCAATGTTCATCATTCTGTGCTATCATCGCCGTATGTATGTAATGATGTATACTCGTAGGTTATCCTGCTTTAGGTCACAAGATTCCCGCACCTTCTGCATGAATACCTTACCGAAAAGAGAAGAGATCCATCGGCATCACATGACCTCCGTTTACTCGGCATTGGCCAGAAGCTCACTATAAAATGTTACTATGATAAGAATAATCCCAGTCCCTGCATTGTTGTTCTCAGGTCCTTCTATCCATAGAGTGTTACGACCACTACGGAGTAGTTCGAAAGTCATGGGCAGCATATAATGTAAGCCTGGTACTTGATCGTCGACTGGTCATCTGCGGTCACAGCCAAGTCGAGCACGAAACTGCAGGGACCCACTGAGCTACGATCTGCTTCTACACAGTAAGCAGCATGATGCCAGACTCTAGTCGGTGAGAAGTGTCACCTCGATCCCGCGCATTCTGGGAGACACTGCAGGTAGTACTAGTTTGGTTAAGCCGATGCATATGCAGCTCAGACAAAGACTTAGATATGCAAGGACCGAGGTCTGCAATAAAAGGGGTTTGAAAGAGCAAACTCGGAGCGGTAAAGGAGGATGTTATTGTGGGCGTGGAAGTGGATCTTCACAAGCTTGAAGCTCTGCGTCATTCCAATGTGGTAGTGAGCTTAATGGATTTCTACTATGACAGGGAGACAGACCCTTAATGCCTGCCAATATTTTGTTGAGGGGATTGTTCGGAGTCCTTTGGGACGTAAAAAATTTTATTTCTTGTTTGTGCCCCTGTTTTACACGGTCTAAGTTAAATTAATAAAATCATCCTTTGCGCTCTCTTTGTTTAGTCTATCTCATTACTGCAAAGAGGCCGAGGGAATTGCACCGAGTATCTCGAAAGACTGTTGAACTAAATTTAATTTAGTTCCCCCCCTTTTGTTCTTCTTTCCAATGTTGCCAATGTCTTTTTTAGACTTGCAACCCTTGTTCTATGTCTAATAACTATCTAAGCGAGGAGGGTTACATCTAATCTATAGGCGGTTTGCTTACTACCGAGGAGATTAGCCCTAAGTCAGATGCTTAGAGGAAATGCAAACGACAAAGGCTTTGAATTGAAATACATGGAAAATTCAGTTTCACTGACAGGTCCCACACCTATCGATTGAATTCAGCCCACTCACTGCCTTTCCTGACTATGCCTTAGTATTTGGTGAAGAGCCCTTTTCCTGCGGGTTTTTTTGTATTCACTCGCATTCTGAGGGGACATGTAATCCTTTTCGTAGATTATTCGAGTTGGTACGCTCGGTTTGCCTACAAGACGTGCCCTTGAGTAAGTTCGAGGTAATTAAGACACATTTAGAGATACTCTATCGTCACAAATCCAGGATAAGAGTTACTACGATTGAGGTATATACGTAAACAGCTTCCTGGAAACCCAAAAAGGCTATAGCTCTAGCCATGCGGAGGGTGCTCTCCCCTGTCGAGAAAGGCGAGAAACAGTAGGGGAACCCTTTTGTCCCTGTACACAACTATCCGGTCTATATTTCTGAATAGAACTAGAGGGCCACGGCCAATATAGAAGTACAACGGACGGCTAGATCATGGATGAGAGGTCCTGTGGCATTATTGGTGATCGCCTTTGATTGGTTTGAAGGTATTGCCATTGACAGAGTAACCGGACTCAAAGTTGAACGAATGTTATTATGCATTAACTAAGTATGGCACCTGAGATAAGAAGCCTCGAATTCAGCAACTAGTGCTTGATAGTGTCCTGTGCCTATCAGGTCACTCGTAGAGGAGCCAGAGTAGTACTAGTGCTACCCCAGGGAAGGACGGAGATATTGAGCCAATCCGACAAGAGATTCGATTCTGGTGGGTCAATTCGAAATGCATCGCGGGGTTGAGCTTGATTGTGGTACCAACTTGAATATATCTCACTTCATTTACTCGTAGTACTTATTGCATTGGGCGTCTTATTCTTTGGTTCCTGAAAAACTCGCCATATATTATATACTTCATCCCGGTCGTCCCTTTCCAGCACAACATGGGATCCCGACTACACGTTCAAGAGATCAAAAAAGGCCCCCCACTTCCCTATAAAGATGATATCAGAGCTTTCACGCGAGAGTACGCCGAGTCTCTCGACGCACAAGACCCTCTCCGTCATTTCCGAGACGAATTCATCATTCCATCGAAGAATGACCTGGAGCGGAAGACTCTGAATGTTAACGAGAGTATGTCCTCTTTCCCCAACCCCCACCAGTGGTTCCATGTCGCTGACCAATTGTTATCTCAACATAGATATTGAGGACTCCTCCGACCCCAGAAGTATTTATCTCTGCGGAAATTCCCTGGGTCTTCAGCCTCGGAACACCCGGAAATACCTCGAGCACTATTTACGGACCTGGGCCATTAAAGGCGTTACTGGCCACTTTACACCGCATGATGACCAGCTGCTTCCCCCGTTCGTCGATGTCGATGAAGCCGGAGCAAAGCTTATGGCCCCCATTGTGGGAGCGCTCGAAAGTGAGGTGGCGGTAATGGGCACGCTAACTGCGAACTTGCATTTTCTGATGGCGAGCTTCTACCAACCAACTAAAGAGAAGTATAAGATCATTATCGAGGGCAAAGCATTTCCAAGTGACCACGTAAGTTCCTCTCCTTCACTACCACCTAACAATATCACAGAGAATAGTGCTAATACCATCCCGAATCAGTATGCTGTGGAATCTCAGATTCAGCACCATAATCTCGACCCGAAGGACGCTATGATCCTTATCGAACCGGAAAACCTCGATCGTCCAATCCTAGACACTGAGAAAATCCTGCAGGTGATCGATGAACATGCCTCGAGTACAGCCCTTATACTTCTCTCCGGTATACAATTCTATACTGGACAGTATTTCGATATCGAGAAGATCACGGCCCATGCCCATTCCAAGGGTATCATAATCGGTTGGGACTGTGCCCATGCTGCAGGCAATGTCGATTTGAAATTGCACGACTGGAACGTGGACTTCGCGGCCTGGTGCAACTACAAGTATCTCAACAGTGGACCGGGCGGAATGGCTGGACTGTTCGTCCATGAGAACCATGGACGAGTAGACATGACCAAGGTTGGTTCCAAGGATGAGCCTTTTCGTCCGCGCTTGTCCGGCTGGTGGGGTGACAACAAGAAAACACGGTTCCGAATGGAAAATAGTATGGACTGCTTGTATTCGCTAACTTGTTCTTAACTGACTTGGCTTGCAGGGTTCGTGCCTCAACCAGGCGCAGCTGGGTTCCAATTATCGAACCCATCTGTCTTGGATATGAACGCAGTGGTGGCGTCCCTCGAGATATTCAATCGCACGTCAATGGCTGAGATCCGTCAAAAGTCTTTGGACCTCACGGGTTACTTAGAACATCTCCTTTTGAAATATCCTCTCGATGCTGCCCCCGAGGACAAACCATTCTCTATCATTACACCCTCAAACCCGGCCGAGCGAGGTGCACAGCTAAGTCTGCGCTTAGGCCCAGGCCTTCTAGACAGCGTCGTAGAAGTTCTGAAGGAGAATGGAGTAGTGATCGATGAGAGAAAGCCGGATGTCATTCGGGTTGCGCCTGCGCCTCTGTATAACACCTATGCGGACGTGTGGCAGTTCTGCCAGATCTTCTTCGATGCTTGCCAAAAGGCAGTAAGAGCTCGAAAGTAAACGTTTTGAATATGAGGATGATTTAATGTTTCTGACCTGCAATTCTTGGACATATATTGGATGGGAGCTATGGTGTTTGGATAAATATGCCAAATCAGCCTCGGAGACCACGATTATGACTACGTTTACCTTGCTTTGACTGCCTGCAATGAAAAGTTCTAGAATCAGACCATGCTGACATCCCACCCTTGCAGGCTTACAACCTGAGAAGGACATTGCCACGTTCTAGCTTGCTTCATGCTCTTTTGCCCTATCTCTGAGGTGAAGGAGCTGGTGCAGACTACCCCTTGCCGCTGGTGAAATCTTTCTTTGGCAGAACAGTTCTGGAAATTTCCAGCTGGCTTGGGCTAGAGTTTCAGTAGATCTCGAAACAGTTCCAGTGATCCAATATCGGGCGAATAAGACAAGCATCCAAGGCTGTTATTGCATAATACAGACTAAAGTGCCACTATATGAGAGCTACGATTTAGCCATTCCTCAGCGGATATGATGGTTGTATATGTGTTCCAACATATTATAATATATCTCGAATTGCATCACATAGAAGTGCTTTCATCTAACTTTCTTCAGTCGTTTTTTATCACCTATCAACTTAAGGCAAAATAAGCTCTCTCTAGAGGTTGCCGTTCAGACTCCCAAGCTAACCAGTCTGACCTTGTAGTTCTGTTTCAAGAAACCATGTTAGCTTTCCGTAGGGTAGATAATTGACAAGAACGCAGTGATTGGAAAAGAAATAGCAGCAACATACGGTAGAAGACCCATCGCATTAACCTTCCACACCCCCAATGCCAGTAGCACGAATTGCATCAAAACATAAACAGCCTTCACTCCAAGTAGCTTTCCCCGTGTGGATTCCGTGTCGAATTTAGCGAAGACCGTGTTCGTGTTGATCAAGCCCTGGATTGGTCCCTTGAAGAGCATGAAGACCATCATAATACTGAAGATCTGAAGGCTGTTTCCGGACATGTACATCATGATCGCATTCATGGGGATCTGTTTCGAGGGTGCCATAGCAATCTCCCATGCTTTCTTCAGCTTCAGCGTATCGGTTTCCTCGGATTTGGATGCGGCGGTGGATGTGGATTGTTCCTTGCGCTGTGAGTCGCGGCTAGGTTAGCATGTTTCACCTTGAAGGAGGTGGCGTGAACTGCAATGGCATACGTTCTTTCCTCCTGCCTTGCTGCTGGAGAAGCCTGGAGGGTCAGGAATGCGGGATGCTGCCTTGGAAGGTTGCGGCGCAGGGGAGTTCAAGGCCACGGCCCAGTACGGTGGAGGGACGGGGTTGAGTGGTTCAGTAGCCATAATAGATCGGAGGTTGGCAGAAGCTGCGGCAACGGAGAATATATTATAGAGAATTCATTCAAGGTATGAGGTGAGTTGCGGCAAGACAGCAAGCGAGAAGACTTGTCGGAGCGGAGGAAGGAAGTTGAGTAGTGGTGATGATGATGATCCGACACAGTAAATGGAATTTCTCCACAAGCGCGCGGAGTTGGCGGCAGCCGATCCACTCCTGAGTCTCGCCTGCTAAAGAACGAACTATCGTGGAACGGTTTCACCCCCCCGTTAAATGCTTTCTTCTCCTTTTAGCCTGCTCTTGGGACTGGGAAGCAGTCAAGTTTTACCACATTAAACCAGATCCGGCACACAGACGACCCCTTGGATGTTGCCCCGTGCCGCATTGGCAATCCACTGAAGTCTACCAGACAAGAGAAAAGGGCATGGAGGTATCGGAGCAACAGATCAGCTAAGAATTTCTACGAAGCTATTCTAGCTACGCGATCGTCCCCATATTCGTCCCCTGCGATATCGTATGCGATTTTGATATTCGCAAAGAACCAATCTACACCAGAAAACCCGCTTCATCCAACGGAACAGGGAGGAGTCCCTCGTGTACCAACTGAAACGCCATCATGAGCTCCGGTGGAGGAGATGCAAAGCTGTTCGCTAGGGTACGTTTGTCTTGGTTTTTGCTGCTGCGTCGTTGGGGTTTAGACCGTATCGATCGGCGGCTATCAAACCACTGGCTTATCATTGTCCCCTCATCCCCTCATATCGGTCGAACCACCTTCGAATATGGTTTGGTCTAGTCTTTTGACTGGACCACAGTCCCCTCGTACAATTCCGTGGCTTCTGTGGCACAGACTGTGGTTTATCATGTATCATTTCCTCATGTTCTGCAACTTCCCCCGGCCACACTCATTATCCAACATTCGTCGGACTTAAATCTGCCCTATGTTTCTTACTGTGATTCCTTATGCGACGCAACATGGCTTACCATCTTCCCGGTCTTCACAGGGTAAAGTCGCGGAGCTGCGACAAGAACTCCATAGCGGCGGCAAGAAGGACAAGAACTACTCCGCGAAAAAGATCGCCCTCAAGAAGATTGTCGCAAACATGACTATGAGCAATAACGACATGGTGGCACTGTTTCCGGATATTATCGATTGTATGAACCTGCCAAGCTTGGAAATCAAGAAGATGTATGTTGGAACAAAGGCCGACACATGCTGTGATGAATAACGATCGCTAATACTTTCTGTTGCATTCGGTTGCAGGTGCTTTCTTTTCTTGGTCAACTATTCGCGAATGAAACCCGACATTGCCTTGAAGGCACTGCCTATTCTCGTTAACGTACGGGCCCATATATTTCTCAAATTTACAGCGAAGTTAGCTTAACCGGTGTGTTATAGGATATGGAAGATACAAATCCGCTTGTGCGAGCGCTGGCATTACGGACTATCTCATACGTCCACGTGCGGGAGTTTGTCGAGGCGACGGTTCAACCTGTCAAGCGTTTAATGGGTGATATGGATCCATATGTCCGCAAGACATCCGCTTTCTGTGTCGCAAAGCTCTATGAGCATGATAGGAAAATGGTTGAGAGCTCCGACCTGATTGACAGGTTGAACCACATGTTGAAAGACGAAAACCCAACGGTCGTATCCAGTGTGCTTGCGTCTCTGACAGATATCTGGGGTCGGAGTGAGACCATCTCCCTGACTATTGACTACACAAGCGCATCGAAACTGGTCTCGATCCTGCCTGACTGCTCTGAGTACGTATCTCTACATCACGAATTTGCTCATGCTCCTAACGCTTTCCAGGTGGGGCCAAACCTACATCCTTGAAGCCCTAATGTCATATGTCCCTCAGGATTCGGCGGAGGCACTGTTATTGGCAGAGCGAGTAGCCCCTCGCCTGTCCCATTCCAACTCTGCAGTTGTTCTTACTTCCATCCGTGTCATTCTGTATCTCATGAACTATATTGCTGATGAGAGACATGTCACTTCCCTCGCCAAGAAGCTATCACCTCCTCTTGTCACCCTACTATCCAAACCACCAGAAGTACAGTACCTGGCGCTTCGAAATGCCATTTTGATACTGCAGAAGAGGCCCGAAGTTCTACGAAACGATATTCGGGTTTTCTTCTGCAACTACAACGATCCAATCTATGTCAAAGTGACTAAGCTGGAATTAATATTCATGTTGACGACGAAGGAAAACATCTCGGTTGTGTTGGCAGAGCTGAGAGAGTAAGTTCTGGCCCCACCACGCTCAAACACTTAACTAAGAAGTGTCTAGGTACGCGACTGAAATCGATGTTCATTTCGTCCGTAAAGCTGTACGCGCCATCGGAAAATTGGCGATTAAAATCGAGTCTGCCGCGAAGGAATGCATTGATACTCTTCTCGAACTGGTCAATGCTAAAATCCCATACATTGTCCAGGAGGCGACTGTCGTCATTCGCAACATTTTCCGCAAGTACCCCAATCAGTATGAAAGCATCATCAGCCGTATCATTCAGAACATAGATGAACTGGACGAACCGGAAGCAAAGGCAGCTATTATCTGGATCATCGGACAGTATGCCGACCGCATCGAAAACTCAGACGGGCTTCTACAAGACTACCTAGCCACTTTCCATGACGAAACGGTTGAGGTACAACTCGCCTTATTGACGGCTACTGTTAAATTCTTTATTCAACGCCCGACGAAGGGCCAACAGTTGGTGCCTCAAGTATTGAAATGGTGTACCGAGGAAACAGACGACCCCGACCTCCGAGACAGAGGCTACATGTACTGGCGTCTCCTATCGACAGACCCTGCAACCGCACGACAGGTCGTCATGGGCCAGAAGCCCCCGATCAGCGCAGAAAGCGAGAAGCTGGACTCTCGAACCCTAGAAGAGCTCTGCCTGAACGTCGGTACTCTCGCAACTGTCTACCTAAAACCCGTCCAGCAAGTCTTCCGCTCCGCACGTACACGGCGACTCCAATACAGCCCTGCCTTGCAGAAACCCCGCAACGACGACGGAAGCAATGCCTGGCAATACCCAGTTAGCCCGTCCTCCGCTGGCCCCGTTACGCCTACCTCAGCGGCAAACGGTGCAGCCCCGGCACCAGGCGACATGAACGCGGCTGTGAATGCTGCCGATTCCTACTTCAACAGCGTCGGTACCCAGCAGATGGCAGCGCTGGATCTAGGTGGTCGCGGAGATGGTATTGGAGGCGGTGGTGCGCCGCAGACGCAGTATATTGTCAGCCAAAATCAGCAACAGGTGTATCAGCCCCAGCTGGCTGGTGGAGCGGCTACGGGAGAGTTGTTATTGTTGTAATGTAGTATACTTAAATTCTGTTTCTGATTAGACTTTTCTCTTCTTTTCTACTCTAGCGATGTCAAACGCGGATTTGTGATACCTCTTTAATCATCGTGCCTTCTTCACTGTTCGTGCCATATGTAAGATAAATTATATGAGGAATAGTCAGGGAAAGTAGCACTGGATATCTGGTGTTTTGATTACTTAGGCCACTCTAAACTGGATAGTCAGCAGGTTCCGAGGGAAACACCGCTAGTAGTATGACGACTGTGCTGGTCCGCTTGATGTGGGTGTTATAATTCCTGTCTCTATACTCCGTACTTCGAATGTCGAAGATGGTTGTGGATATACTAACTAAATGGTTCATTTCTATTTGACTGCTCCTGCTGTGATTTAATGAGTAAAAGTAGGAATAGCGTCCGGCGAAAAATTGTAAACTACCCAGCAGAATAGTGATCCTAGTTTATTATCATCTTAAAGGGATATCATATTGTCCACTGAAAACATCACAATGAACGCAACGCATGGGAGAATATCTTATGAAATGGAGCAACGAACAACCGTGAACAACAACGCCAGAAAGGACCGTCAAGAACGCTGGATGCAAAATACGGAATATGCGACCCTCAGCACTCCCGGGAGACAAGATAGAGAAAACGCGGCATCAGTCCTCCATCCGAGAAAGCCCACCACGACTACGCTTGATTCGGTCATCCAGATTATCTTCCTGGAGCTGACGATGGAGACCTGCGACAAACCGACCCTTTTCCGAGCGCTGCTTCTCGTCTTCCTCACGTTGCTTCTCTTCCATAGCTGTAACATCGGCAATCCGTTGGCGACGAGTGTCTTCCACTTCATCTGCATTGGACAGCATCTCTGCCAGCTTGCGCTTGCGCTCTTCTTCAAGTTCTTTTGCTTTGTTCGTGTCTCCAGCCCCGGCGTCATTGGGACGGTCGCGGGGGTACGAGTCTCTGGGGCCTCTGTTGTCTCTCCTGTCTCTGTCGTAGTGACGATAGGGCCTATCGCGACGATCATGGTCTCTGGAATAGTCACCGTTCCTGCCATCTGTGCGACGCCTATCGGAATGACGATGATCGGCCCGAGGAGAAGGAGATCTGTCATGTAGCGAATCTCTGCGAGAAGACCGATCATGCCTCTCATCACGTTCTCCGCGTCTGCTCGAGCGATGATCCCTATCATCCCTATCTCTGCGATCACGGTCCCGATCCCTGCGGTCTCGACCATCTCTTTCGTCTCTGTGTCTCCGATGTGACGACCGCTCGGGTGAAGCAGGAGACCTAGACCGATGCCGATGCGAGCGATGACGATGACGCCGAGAATCCCCTTCCTCGTCGCTATACCTCCGACTCCTCCTATGTCCACGATCTCTCTCCCTCTCCTTCTCCTTCTCGCCCCTAGCAATTACTTTCCCTCTCGCAGCCGCCTCCTTAACCGCATTCTCATACGCCGCCTGCTCCCTCTTCCGAATCTCCATCAACGGATCCGCCATAACCTTTGTCATCATATCCCTCGGATTCCCCGTCCCAACAACCGGCTGCGCAGCAGCAGGCGCACCCATCAAATCTGCCCCCTTCTCCAATTTCTTGCTATCATCATTCTTCAACAGAATCCCATCAATGCGCCTCTTGCCGAGTAAATACCCTTCCATCTCCTCAGAGTAATGACCCGTCGCACTCGACGGCGCCTGGTACATCCAGTCGACCCGATTATGCTGCCGCGGCTTGCCCGAGTCTTCTTGCAGTCGCTGGAGCTCCTGGATCTGGCGCTCCTCATCGCGCTCACGGCGGAGTTGCTCGACTTTCTTGCGTTCTTCGAGGGCGCGTTTTTCCTCTGACCATACGCGCTCTTGGTTGCGCAGGAGCGAGGGGTGCCATGATCTATATTTTTGTGTGTTAGTTTTCGGGTTGGGGTAGCTTGGCTTTAGAATTGGGATTTGGTTGTAGCGTATTGGCAATGTGTTGGTAGGCGGGGGAGTGTTTTCTTACTTCTTGAGATTGAGATCGCCACCCATTTTGACTTGTGTTGCAGGCGAGCTGCGGTTTGAGGAATGGTGGGAGGTGGATTCAAATTGGTGGGTGGATTGAAACGCTTTCTTTAAAGATGATGGAAGAGCTTCCCGAATGGGAAGGATGGCGTTGCCACCGGGCCGATGTTGTTGCTTTGGTGCCTGAGGCTACATATATCTAGTTTTATCCAAGTGAATACTGGAGGGTCTATAGTCAAAAGCAGAAAAACATTAAGAAGAAGGACATTGCTGTTTTAATTCAAAAAGCCCCAATCCTCGCTGGAGTAAATATCATGAAAAAGGAAATAACAATGTATATCATTGAATACTACAAGTTAGGGGGACGCATGATGCACATGTTCAAACACAGTGATTAACATCAATACATACATACAAAGAGCCGATAAGAACACGAAGGCTAGCGTCATGCAAGTCATCCTACTGGTAGATATGACTGCAGTTCATGTACCATGTGAAATTAGCATATACCAGAATCAAATCATTTACTCATCTTCTCTTCAAACAGTTGGGTTTCCACATGGTTCCCTGAAGGAATTGCGAAGGGAGACGAAATGATGAACAAACATAATGCCGTCCAACCCATACTATACCATGCATTATTCATCAGCTAGTCATTGCTGAAGCTAGCTGCACTCCCAGTCTACTACTGTCCGACTTCATTTGCCCCAGCCAACCCAGTTGCGAGGCATTACCCGCCAGACCTTGCACTCTCCACTGCGCAAATCATTGAGTTTGAAGCTTTCCACCTTGACTTTCTTGCTTTCCCTACCCTGTTCCCATGCACGGATCTTCTTCTTGGTGCCGTCCCAGTCAACAACGATGCCGACATGGTCAGGCTTGCCGACCTCGGCACTATATTTCTGATGCATGGTACCGCGGTGGCCTTGGAAGCGTGTGTTACGGAAGCTGACAATATCACCGGCACGAATTTCATCATTCTGCTGCACGGACGCATTGGCTAAATTGGAATAAACTAAGGCACCGTAGGCACGTGTGCCGACAGGGTGTAGGGCATCTGTGAGGGGACTGAGGAGGTGCTGAACTAAGCCGAATGGAGTGCCATCTGCAACAGTTGTATTCTGGATGCCATTCACAGCAGTGGCGATGCGGGTCCCAATTTGAAGATGTGCATTTTCGAGCTGGTCCTGGCGAGGCTGGAGAGGGGGAGCTTCATGGCGTTGCTGCAGAGTCGCATCGGAAGGATTCCGGGCATCGAAGTTCACGGTAATTATAGTTTGAGAGTAGTCGATGAATAGAATATAGACTTCTTTGGTAATAGTGGTGCTTCCGCTACGATTTGCAGGACCGGAATCTTCGAATTCGAATAGAACATCTTTCCTGTTTTGGAAGGCAGGAGGAGGATTATTTGGTTGCGCCCACCATAGCGTGTGTTGGGCCAAATCAACATCCATGGCAATGTAGCCCTGATCGACAGAGGGACGGCTTACGTCCATAGATCTCCGCAGGTTGGACGGGCCTCTCGAAACATCCAAGGATGCACGATTGCTCCGTGATGTGGGCGGAGGTTGAGGGGCAGCGCTAAGGGGAGGCATGCTGGGAGGTTGTGGAGGCGCCATTGAGCTACGCGTTTCAGGTGACGTAGGAACGGGAGGCAGAGGCGGTGATTGTACTGGAGATGCTTCATACAACTCGTCCGAATCGTCTCCAACATTTTCTGGCTGGGCAATGGGTGGCACTACCGATCGTCGCTCGGTAGGTGCGGGTGGTGCTCTCGGGGAAGGCAAGCCATGTTGGGGCGCGGAGTAACGGTAAGGATCGTACTCATCGTCATCGCCATAAGACAGCTCCCTGTGGGGCGGGGGCGGAGGTGGAGGCGGTCCTCTGGGAGACTCCATGGAAGCTCTCCCAGCGCTTCGGGGGGGCTGAACAGGGGGTGGTGGCGGGACTGCTCTGGGTGCGGACGGTGGAGGCGGTGGTGGAAGACGGGCCTCATGGGGACTTCGCGGTGATTGGAGAGAATGGTCATCGTTTATGGTGCCTTCGTCAATGCTTGAATCACGCCCATGAGCTTTCAATGCATCTTTGAACTTTGCTCCAGACGCAATGTCTGTATCATAGTCACCATCATACTCCGTGACCTCGCCTTCTACTTCTTCTCCAGCTTGGCGAGGCTGGGAGGCTGCGCTGACACGGCTATCAGCGGTTGATCTGCGACGGAGATCACCCGGAGGTGGAGGCGGTGGCCGTGTTTGCGACGGGATGGGAGGATTTGTCGGGATGGGTGGGGGCTGGCGGCTGAGTCTCTTCTCTGAAGAAAACGTTGGTGATTTCGGGGACGTGATATCGTACGTCGACAAACGACGCGAGTCAACATGATCAGGAATTGGAGGCGCTGGCACCGATAGAGGAGAGGCAGACCTATCGGTTGCCGCAGCATTCAAAGACAAGTTTTGAGCATGGACGGAAAGCTCATCATCCGACTCCTCGCCCGGGTCGCCAGATGTGGAGCTCTTCGTAGGAGGAGGAACTGGACGGGCTGTTCAAGGAAGATTAGTATGGGCGAAGTAACCTAGATAGGATAAGAGATTTAAACTTACGTTCAGGCACCGGGGGAGGTGACAGGGGCTGACCCTGTGGAATAGGAGGAGGAACAGGCCGTGTTTCCAGAGGCGGAAGAGGAGGTGCAGTACGCTCTACATGACATGCTTTGTGAGTCTTGGGGGTCATACAACATGAGATAGGAAACCGGTCTTCATACCTTTAGGTGCAGGTGGTGCCCTGCCTGAGGAGACAGGACGAGGAGGTTCTTCTGGAACAACCTCCTCAACGTCAGGAACTTCTTCTGCAGGATGCTGTTCGGCTAAAGGAGTAGTAGGAGCCCCTTCTTCCTCTTTTTCTACAGTTGGAGGTGCAGCCGGTCTGGTGGTATTCATTCCTGGAAGAGCCATAACAGGAACTGGAGGTGCAGCAGCTGGCGAAGTCGGCTCTGCGTCTCTATCTCTTCTCTCGGGTTCCGTGGTCGCCTTTGGCTTACGAGGGGCCGCGCCAGGAAGAGGCATACCGCCGGGAGGGCCAAAAAAGCCCATCATGCCCATTCCACCACTCATTTTTGCCATCCTTTCGCGAAGTTCCATCTTGCGTTTGACCTCAGGGTCGATCTCTTCTTCTTCTTCTTCTTCTTCCTCTTCCTCCTCCTCCTCTTCATTTCCATCGCGCCTGTCCTTCTCACTTTCTTCTCCCTTCTGTTCCTGTGGTTGAGCCACATGACGAGATTCAGCACGGGCACGCTCGTCGTAATCTTCTTTGCTTGTAGAAGTCTCCTCCGCATCTTCAATATCAGCGGCAGCGGAGTCGTCAGCGTCGTTGGCGTCACTCGCCGGCTCGCGTACAGGTGGCGGAGACATAGGTGGTTGTGGCACAGGTAAAGTATCGGGCTTAACAGTATCAACACTGAGATCACGCCCAGATTCCATCAAGCCTGGTCTCTCGGCACTCGGTTCCTCTGCTGGTGCGGCTCCCTCATATGACTCTGCGCGCTTCTTCGGAGGGGGCTTCTTCGGCTTTTCTTTCTTCTGGGCAGCTTCAGCATGGCGTGCAGCTTGCTCCATTTGTTGCTTCTGCAGAAGAGCTATCCGCTCCTTCAGAGATGTCGGCTTAGGCTGGTCTTCCTCCTTATTCTCAGTCGTTTCACTCGGCGCAGGTCGACTTTCAGAAACGGGCGGCTCACGCGGAACGCTTTCCTGGACGTCTGGATCCTCTTCTCTTTTGTAGACCTTGGGAGGAGCCTCCCTTGGTGGGGGTACATAGGCATTCTTGCTAGGTGGTGGGGCAACAAACGGTTTCTTGATAAACGTATTAGAGCCCCCGGAGCTCCAACCCCCCGGCTTGAAAGGTGCAATCGGAGGCGCTGCTGGTTTATTAAATGCTGCGATACGATCTCTGAATGAGGACGAGGCAGGTTTCTCAGCAACGGCAGGTGGCGGAGGCTTCGGCGAAGCTTTTGGAGCCGGCTCTTTCGCTTCGGGGGAAGATGGCTGGTAAGCTGGAGCAGGCGCCGGCTTCGGCGGGGGCGCAACCTCACTAGGCGAAGGTTCTGAAGGAGGAGGAGGCGATTGGGGAGGGTTTGGGATACTCCTTGGCACATCGACAGGGGCCTCCTCTACTTCTGGCTCCGGCGCGGGATGACTCTCAGCCGGACTCTCGACTGCAACAGGCGCAGGCGGAGGGGCGACATCGGCTTCCTTCTTTGGCCTACTTGGGCGCGTCGGTCGCGGAGGAGCGGGGGGCTCATACTTTTCCACAAAATTCTTTGGGAAGATGCCTTCTACCTTGCTACCCGACTCGTTTGTGTATTCGCCATAGTACCACTCTGCATCTTCCTCCGCGGTGACAGTGATAATTTGGCCGATTGAAAATGTCAGGTCATCCTCGTGGCTCGACGAATACTCGAAGACCGCTTTGGCCGTGAATGGTGGGTTGGACATTTGGCAAGCCGGGGCCTATCGCAGAGATGAGGGACAATATGTAAATACTAAAGGTTCGGCAGATGAGCATTAACCAGACCGACACTCAATATTTGTATTTAGTGAAGCACCAACTTATGCAACCTTCATGCAAAGGGGCATATGTAGAGGTGCTTCACGGGGAATAGGAGATTAAAGGAAACTAGTTAATACCAACCAAAATATGTCAGCCTGGTTGACGTACGTCACAGCATAACCTGGGGCTGGCAATGCCCTCCAAAAGGTTATGGTTCAATGAAGATCACTTACTGAAGCTGAAGATATCAATTCCTGCGGGATATAACTTCAGGACAAATGCCAAGGAGGGGAAGAAACAAAGGGATGGGGACATGAAAGAGGAAAGTGAAGGGGAACGAGGAGACACGGAGGTGTAAGGAACACAGACAACCGTCGTCACCTTTTGGCGGGACAAGTTGCTCCACCACGGGGCGATCAGCAGCTAATAATATTCAAAGACCTGCCACACCACGACTCACTAACTGCCCAAGTGTTGATGATTTGGAGATTAGGTATGTGGAGGGGTAAAGAATTCTTATGGTCGCTCACATGGCGGTCAGATTATGTCTCATCTGGCACAATTTCTTGGATCAATTTACCATTCAAAACGATCTCATTTCCATTAAGGGGGTTTTAATTCATCCTACTAAGGGAGTGGCATCCGTCGTCATGGGTTGGATTTGAATCTGGGGTTTGCCTCCCGACCCGGAAGCACCACCTCACTTTCACAACCCTCTCATGTCCAACCATTTTGCTTTCCCTCCACACCACTGACAGAATTACTTTGCAAAATGTCCGCCAGTCGGTCCAATTTGAAGACCTCCCTTCCTTCGGCTCATGCTGCTTCCACCCAGGCTTCGTCCAGCATGCGCCGTGCGCCCAAGTCCAATATATCGCGCCAGCAAAAAGGACAGCCCACGAACAAGCCAAACACTGATCCACGTCACCTCGCCATAGCTTTACATCATGCGCACCGTATTCAGGCTCAAAAAGATACCGAATCTCTTATTTTGGATCGCATTCTCGAACTCGTCACGTTTCCGTCCTCGCCTTCTGCGGATCCTGCTTCCCCGTCACCTGAAGATGCCCAGGCTTTCAAATCAGCTTTGATACCCTTCCAGCCAACAGACTACGATAATTTGATCCAAGAGCGGAATATTGAGGGTCTCTGTGGATACGGTCTATGCCCTCGCGAGCACCGTAAGGACGACTCTCGTGGGACTTATCGCATAACGTGGGGTGCCAAAGGGAGTGGTCCCGGTGGTCGGGGACGGGATATGAACATAGTTCCTCGTGAGAAGCTTGAGATGTGGTGTTCGGATGAGTGCGCTGAAAGAGCTTTGTATATACGGGTACAGTTAGCCGAGGAGCCAGTATGGGAAAGGCGTGCCGATGACGCCCGGGGCAAGAATCTTCTCTTGCTTGAGGAAGGGAGAGCAATGGCGCCAGGAGGGAAAGGTAAGGCGAAAAGCTCTGCGACGGTAGGGGAAGTTACTGGTCAATTGGACAATTTGCATATGAGCACCACGCCAGGTTCGAGCAACCTAGCAGGTGACATGTCCAAACTCTCTGTTCGTGATGCTGCTCACTCCCATGAGCTCGCTTTGGAACGCGGGGATGCAAACCCGGCATTACGGGCCGGGCGAGTAGATGTCCGGATCCAAGAGAATGATGATTTAGCGTATGAACACGTCACAGCACCAGAGATGCGTCCAGGAGACGACAAAGGAGGATCTATTGAAGGCTACATGCCTCAAGAATTTTAGGTGGGGAAAGGGAGCGTTCTCTATCATATACCATTAAAATTGTGACTTATACAGATCGAGCGTTCGCAAAGTTGATGATACCCAAGCTGTCAACTAGATATACTACTAGGCAAATGGAATACACTGTTTTAATGAAGACACTAGCGTTTCTTGCCATGATCCTCGTTATTTCTATATGGTCAAGAGCCAGACAATGTTAGAGCAACGAACAAGCTTCATCGACTTAGAAGGTTCTGACCAGTTAACGCGGATTTGGGGATATGCCGCGTCTATACTGGAATTACTAATACTGCGAACTTTGCGGGACCTCCTACACAGTAGTATAGCAACTGTACGGTGGTAGAAACAGTTGCCTCTTACTTGTCAAGTGGTATACGTAAGGAGCTGAATTTAGATTAATGTTCTGTAAACTTAGAATGCCGAACTCCGACTCAGTTGCGACATCATTTCTTAATCTCGGGGGTAATGTATCAAGGAACTGCTAATCTCCACCAAGGTTGGGACCGTAGCTTTGACTCATATATGTACAAATAGAACCGTCGTGGAACTTGGTAGCTGACGGCGTAAACAGCCGGACTTAATGCTGACTCCGCCAAAACCCCGTCATTCCGCTACAAGCTGACGCAAATCAAATGCCCTATCATATTCAGACGATAACTGCGCTGGTGGACCATGGTGGGGGACAAATACGGATAAACTGGCGTTAAGGAGGGGTACATCCCGTTCTACTCAAAACTATATAAAGACAGACGTTCCTCGCTCAGCGTCTGTTGCTACTGTAAACCTAAGCTTGAGATAATAAAACAAACTTAGCAACTACAATAAAAACTGCAACTGCAACCATGGTGAAAGTTCTCTTGACCGGTATGCCATACAACCCCATCAGGAGCGCAATTCTGACATACATATGTAGGCGGCAGCGGATTCATCGCAGCTCATATTATTGATATCTTGCTGCAGCGTGGGTGAGTGTTATAAGTTTCGACTGTCAATCTCCTGGGGCGAATCACGCTGACCCTGACCGTCCCTGGTTAGATATGAGACAGTAGTGACAGTTAGATCTGAAGATAAGGGAGAAAAAATTCTTAGCGCTCACCCCAATACACCAAAGGAGAAACTTTCATATGTTATTGTCAAAGATGTCGCAGAAGAAGGCGCATTCGACGAAGTGAGTTCCTTAGCTCATCCTTCCTCCTCCCAACCATAGTAGTGCTAAAGCATCATACCGTGCAGGCCGTTAAATCTAACCCGCCCTTCGACTATGTCCTCCATACTGCCTCTCCTTTCCATTATAATGTTTCAGACCCGGTGAAAGATTTCCTGGACCCAGCAATCAAGGGGACAACAGGTATCTTGAAGGCAATTAAAGCCTACGCCCCATCAGTGAAGCGTGTCGTGGTTACGTCCTCTTTTGCTGCAATTGTCAATGTCAAGGAACACCCTAAGGTCTACAGCGAAGAGAACTGGAACCCTGTGACCTGGGAGGAAGCAATGGACCCTTCCCAAACCTACAGAGCCAGCAAGGTAAGCCAAAACTACTGTATTGGTATTAAAACTACACATGCTGATAATGAATGAAGACATTTGCCGAGAAGGCCGCCTGGGACTTTGTTGAGAAGGAGAAGCCAAACTTTGACATTGCGACGATAAATCCTCCTCTTGTTTTGGGGCCTGTTGTGCCTTATCTGAATTCCCTAGACGCAGTCAATACTTCGAACAGCCGTATTAGCAACTTGGTCCGTGGTAACAATAAGGACGGGCTACTTCCAACCGGAACTTTCCTTTGGGTAGATGTTCATGACGTTGCATTGGCCCATGTGAGAGCAATTGAGGTTTCAGAAGCAGGTGGACAAAGATTTTTCCTTGTCTCTGGCTCTTATGCGAACAAAGATCTTGCAGATATCATCCGCGAAGCATATCCCGAACTTGAGGAAAAACTGCCCCCTAAGGATTCTGCTAGTGACCTGCCTGCCAACGTCTATGGCTTTAACAACAAGAAGTCTATTGAGGTATTAGGCATCAAGTACCGGTCATTGAAGGAGTCGGTTGTCGATACAGTCAAATCATTGTTGGAGGTTGGTGCATAATCCTCGAGACTAGGATAGAGCTCGTATAAATGCTTCAAATACAGTGATATGACCTGATTCTATACAAGGCCCAGGCAGCCTACCGGATGCCTTACTAAACTCTTCTACGGAGTAAAATATAGCAATATGTTGGAGCAGCCGCCCATGAGAAGGCGAATTCACCTCTCACAGTGAATGTAAATAGATCACACTCTTCCTAGACAGCATCTTGGTTATGACATCCATAGAGTAAGTAGATCAGTCCTGTCGTTTCTAATATGATGCATCGAGAAACGAGTAGATTGATGAAGTAAAGAGGCAGGCTTGAACTGTGTAAGGCTGTCACGTGCTTTGAATTCGTCTCCCTTTGTAGGTAATAGTTCTGGCTGTTCTTAATCATAAATATCGGGTGCTGTTTTCCAAGCACAGGCACATGAAACATACGTAACGACTGCCTTTAATAAGGGCAGCGTATCGTAAGAATAAAGAACAATCTATTTGGCAAAGGTGTATATGGAACTGCACTTTGTGCTGCTGCGGTTGACCGAACCCCTTAGGCTTGGCACGCGGCTAGTCTACGCGACCAACTTTTCTTCTCCAGCATACTCCGGAGGAAGAGCCACCAAGACGTCGCAATTGTCCATTGAACGCCATGGCAACAGCCCGGCTATCTCCCACAGCAAACCTGCTGCGGAAGTCTCGTCTGTTCGCGCTCCCGCAAGCATTAAAACCACCTCAGGATCCGCCAACCTCAAAGGTCGTCTTCGAGTCCGACACCGCAACCCTTCCTCATCCTACCCGAGCGTCCATTGTTACCCCAGCATCATCGCTAGCAAGAGGAGATTGGGGTCTCAAGAGATCGTTGCCTGCAAAATCTACGTCTGCTAAATCATCCAGGCCTGTTGTGAGAGTGAATGCTCTCGACACGTTTGAACATGTTACCGACTTCGAGTCTGCGGCCGACCATACGGTGACCCTTGAGAAATTCCAGGAACTCCATATGCCTCTCTCTTTACCTTCGAAAGTCAACTACGCAACTAGTATTGTTCCTAGGCATCAGAGCCCCTTCGAGTCGTATGTGGACAACACAGATACTAGCAAAGGCCTTGAAGAGACCGGCGCCAAGCAATTTAGGCACTCCGGGCCCTGGCTGGCTGGACAGACGGAGGCCGAATTCAGTGCCTACCTGAAGAAAGTGCGGAGCAATAAGCCAGAGCTTTTGCAAAAACTCCGCCAACTCTTCTCTGAAAAGCGAAATGTTGAGCGGAGAAAGCAAGCTCAAGATAACGGAGAGGATCTGGAGGCGCTTGAGCCGGTAAAGGTTACGGAGGAGGAGTTCCAGACCTACCTCAAGTCATTACGTACAGATCCTTTCTCCCTTGGCCCCGTGGTCTTTGAGCTATTGGACCTGCCCTCGCCCCCGGCCGTACCGAGCGACCGAATTGGTCACAAATACTACCAATCACCTGGAACCAAGCTGTCTTCGGCAGAATACGCTGTATCCGGTCCTCCAAAGACTCACCCTTCTGCCGGACTGTCATACACACGGTCGCATGCTTTAATCTACAATCACCCCAAGTTTGGTCCTCAGGCGTATCAGCGTCCAGTGGAGGCCCGTATCTTGCGACCAAAGGGTAGGTTCAAGGGCAGAACCTCCAAGGCTATTGCGGGTGTTGGTGGTATCGCTGTGGAGGACTTGAACGCTATGACTTTCGTGGAACAGGGCTCTCCTCCGGGCCTAGCCTACTTTGACGTATCTATCCCCGGTGGTGCCAAGTACTGGGTTACTCCTATCCGGGCTTCGGTTGATTCGGAGGGTAGAATTGGCTTGGCATCCTACAGAGCTAGTGCCACTGCGAAAGCTCCCTACAACATTGAGGATTACAAGAAACCCTCCCTGACAACCATATCCGATGTTGCTCGTGGTGATCAGCGTGTCGTCCCGAGACTGGACAAGCAAAAGCCACGTTTTAGGCCTTCGAGAGAACCGCAGCATACCACCGAGGATATCGCCAAAAACCTGATGAAGACTCTTAGCTCCTCATAAGAGAGTACTGCCAACTATTTTCAATTTTTTACAAGGTTTTGAGCAGAGAGAACAGTTGGTTGTACGATTAGACCATTGGACGATAAATGTAAAATTATTTCTGTGCCCCTTCCATTTGTGTTATAAAGCATGTCATTAGTATTATATTCTTTCTGTGAAAATTTAAATTCTCAAATCAATTCTTACATCTATGAATTGTAATACGACGATCCATACCCCAAAGGTAGCAATTGCTTACGATTTAGTCACCCGCAATTGCACAAGCTAGGAGACTTTCTCATATAAGGGCTTTGTGTATCGTAAACTAAGACATAATACCTTAGCATGTGATATTGAGAAATGTCGGGCACCAAAATCCTGCAACTGGGTGTGTGTACACATCCTTATTCAATGCAAGGCTGGCAAAAGGTGGACGAGGGGCAACGAGCACAACCGCTGTCGGCTCCGTACATATCATGAGAGAACCACATTTACAGGAGAAAATTCTGGTGGAGCAAGGTAGTATATTTAGATAGACGCAATAAGTACGGGCAAACCAGGGTGCATCCGATACTATATCTGATATCAACCATTGGAAGCATTTGACGGTATACAGTCGCACCCAATAACTAGTTACCCGAACTACTGCATACATAAGCGCAACGGCAAGCCAAGAAGATGCCCCAGGCCAGAAGCGGCTTGGCCCGTGCATCACCCGGAAGGCCCTCAAACCGCACCTCCCACATCATTCACGACGCCCATCAACTACTCTATATCTCATGCTCAACCCGTGTCATCGTACATGCCCTAGAGGTTGACTTCAAATGTCCACCCTGGGGTGTGCTACGCAAGTATGGCGCAAGCAGGTCCTATTACGGACGTCACTCAACGACTCTTCGTTGAGTTGAAGTCTAAGAATGAAGAAACGCGGGTGAGAGCTGCTTACGAGCTTTACGATAATGTCCTTGCTATCTCACGAGGTAACACCTGATTCCTGGCCGTATCTTGGGGGATGCTAATATCATTACCCTCACCATAGATTGGCCTCCGGAGAAATTTCTTGAATTTTATAATGCCGTCAGCCAGCGCATTGCACAACTTGTCGTCACAGGCAGCGACGCAAATGAACGAATCGGTGGCCTACTAGCGCTGGATCGTCTGATAGATTTCGATGGAGTAGACGCTGCCCAGAAGACTACCCGATTTGCCAGTTATCTGCGAAGCGCTCTCCGCAGCAACGATAATGGAGTGTTGGTATACGCTGCCAAAGCTCTGGGCCGTTTGGCTAAACCGGGCGGAGCTCTTACTGCGGAGCTTGTTGAGAGTGAAATACAGTCGGCCTTAGAGTGGCTTCAGTCTGAAAGGCAAGAAAGCCGACGAGTTGCTGCCGTACTCGTTATCCGCGAACTCGCCAAAGGGTCCCCAACACTTCTATACGGCTTTGTCCCCCAAATCTTCGAGCTCATCTGGGTTGCGCTTAGGGACCCGAAGGTGGTTATCCGAGAAACAGCCTCAGAGGCAGTCAGGGAATGCTTCGAAATTATCGCTGCTAGAGACTCTCAGGTTCGAAAGTCGTGGTTCGCACGGATTTATGAAGAAGCACTCCAGGGCTTGAAGTCTAACAATGTAGACTGGATTCACGGGTCACTACTGGTCCTGAAGGAGCTTCTTCTCAAAGGCGCGATGTTTATGAATGAACATTACAGGAATGCTTGTGAAATTGTTCTTCGTCTCAAAGATCATCGTGACCAAAAGATTCGCGCACAAGTCGTTTTGACAATCCCTATCCTTGCCTGCTATGCCCCGGTTGACTTTACAGAGACGTACCTTCATAGATTCATGGTCTACCTTCAAGCACAGCTGAAGAGGGACAAGGAGCGCAATGAGGCATTCATTGCTATAGGAAAGATTGCCAATGCCGTCGGTGTGGCTATTGCGCAATACCTCGATGGGATCATCGTTTACATCAGGGAGGGCCTGGCCATGAAAGCAAGGAACCGTGCTGGTGTTAATGAAGCGCCAATGTTCGAATGTATCAGCATGTTGGCATTGGCTGTAGGACCGGCGCTGAACAACTACATGGAATCATTGCTAGACCCAATCTTCGCGTGCGGACTAAGCGAATCATTAACTCAAGCACTTTTTGATATGGCTCATTTTATCCCACAAATTAAGCCTACTATCCAAGAAAAGCTATTGGATATGCTGAGTCTGATTCTTAAAGGAGCCCCGTTTCGGCCATTAGGTTGCCCAGAGAGCAGACTGCCTCCTATTCCATCATTTGCGAAAGATTTCGCCTCGCAAGAGCTGCATTCGGATGCAGAGATAGCACTAGCACTTCACACTCTAGGAAGCTTCGATTTCTCCGGTCACATACTCAACGAGTTTGTTCGTGATGTTGCCATCAACTATGTCGAGAATGACAACTCTGAAATTCGGAAAGCTTCAGCACTTACCTGTTGCCAACTATTTGTCCATGATCCAATCATCAATCAGACTAGTAGTCACTCGATACAGGTCGTTAGTGAAGTCATTGACAAGCTTTTGACGGTTGGTGTCGGCGATCCCGACTCAGAGATCCGACGTACAGTCTTGTGGTCCTTAGATCGCAAATTCGACCGCCACCTTGCACGCCCAGAGAATATTCGTTGTTTGTTCCTTGCGGTCAATGATGAAGTCTTCTCCGTCAGAGAAGCTGCCATTTGCATCATTGGGCGCCTTTCAAGTGTCAACCCAGCCTACGTATTCCCGCCTCTTCGAAAATTACTCGTCAATCTTCTGACGGGGCTTGGATTTGCCAGCACGGCCCGCCAAAAAGAAGAGAGTGCTCAGCTCATTAGCTTGTTTGTCTCAAATGCAACAAAACTTATCAGGTCATATGTTGATCCTATGGTGACCACTTTGCTCCCAAAAGCGACTGATACTAATCCCGGTGTTGCTTCGACTACCTTGAAAGCTATCGGTGAACTTGCCAATGTCGGGGGAGGCGAGATGAAGTTGTACCTTCCACAGCTGATGCCTGTCATCTTGGATTCGTTGCAGGACCTCTCTTCCCATGCCAAGCGGGAGGCAGCCTTGCGCACACTGGGCCAGTTAGCCAGCAACTCTGGATACGTTATCGACCCGTACCTTGAATATCCTCACCTCCTTGCTGTGCTTATAAATATAATCAAGACGGAACAGACGGGTTCTCTACGGAAGGAGACAATAAAATTGCTGGGTATTCTTGGCGCCTTGGATCCGTACAGGTACCAGCAAATAAGTGAAACTGCGCCAGACATTCACCATATCAATGAAGTCCAAACTGTCTCCGACGTCGCTTTGATTATGCAAGGGCTTACTCCTTCCAATGAAGAGTACTACCCAACGGTAGTCATCAACACGTTGATGCAGAATATACTACGCGAAAACTCTCTCGCCCAATACCATTCAGCGGTTATTGATGCCATCGTCACTATCTTCAAGACACTGGGATTGAAGTGCGTGCCATTTTTGGGGCAAATAATCCCTGGCTTTATAGCCGTAATAAGAGGATCACCCCCGAGCCGCTTGGAGTCGTATTTTAACCAGATGGCAATATTGGTCAATATTGTGAGGCAGCACATCCGGGCTTTCCTCCCTGAGATTATTGAAGTTGTTCGCGATTTCTGGGATGCATCATACCAAGTTCAAGCCACGATATTATTGCTTGTGGAGGCCATTGCTAAGTCTTTAGAAGGCGAATTCAAGAAATACATGGCGGGCCTCATTCCCATGATGTTGGATACCCTCGAGAAGGACAACACACCACGTCGACAGCCTTCAGAAAGAATACTTCACACCTTCTTAATATTTGGCACTAGTGGAGAGGAGTACATGCATTTAATTGTTCCGTCTATTGTGCGCCTTTTTGACAGAACTCAAAACCCCCAGAGCATTCGGAAGACCGCCATAGATAGTCTTACGAAACTCTCACGGCAAGTCAACGTATCTGACTTTTCTTCTTTAATGGTTCATTCCCTGTCCCGCGTTGTTGCGGGCAACGATCGAATGTTGCGACAGGCCGCTATGGATTGTATCTGCGCTCTCATTTTCCAGTTGGGCCAGGATTTCAGTCACTACATCCATCTTCTGAGCAAGGTTATCAAGCGTCACCAGATCACTCATGTCAATTATCATATTCTAGTGACAAAATTACAGAAAGGAGACCCACTTCCGCAGGATCTCAACCCTGATGAGAATTATGCAGCCCTAGCGGATGATACCAACTTTGCCGAAATTGGACAGAAGAAGATGGTTGTCAACCAGCAGCACTTGAAGAATGCTTGGGATGCCTCTCAAAAGTCGACGCGTGAGGACTGGCAGGAGTGGATACGTCGATTCAGTGTGGAACTTTTGAAGGAGTCACCTTCTCCAGCCTTGCGTGCATGTGCCAGTCTAGCTGGAATTTACCAGCCATTAGCAAAAGATCTGTTCAATGCTGCCTTCGTATCCTGCTGGACTGAGTTGTATGACCAATACCAGGAAGAACTTGTTCGGTCGATTGAAAAGGCACTCACGTCACCTAATATTCCTCCTGAAATCTTGCAGGTTTTGCTCAACCTCGCTGAGTTCATGGAGCACGACGACAAAGCCCTCCCCATTGACATTCGCACACTTGGCAAATATGCCGCCAAGTGCCATGCATTTGCAAAAGCTCTTCACTATAAAGAACTTGAGTTCGAACAAGATCAAAATTCGGGTGCAGTTGAGGCTTTGATTACCATCAACAACCAGCTTCAACAATCTGATGCTGCCATTGGTATTCTTCGGAAAGCCCAAGCTTATCGGGATGTAGAGCTCAAGGAAACCTGGTTCGAAAAGCTTCAGCGCTGGGAGGAGGCCCTTGCTGCCTACAAGAGACGTGAGAAGATAGACCCGGATTCCTTTGGCGTCACAATGGGCAAAATGCGCTGTCTGCACGCCCTTGGCGAGTGGAAGATATTATCTGATCTCGCTCAAGAGAAGTGGAATCAGGCCTCATTGGAACACCGGAGAGCCATTGCGCCTCTAGCGGCTGCTGCTGCTTGGGGTCGTGGTCAATGGGAATTGATGGACTCCTACCTGGGTGTTATGAAAGAACAGTCACCCGACAGGTCATTCTTTGGTGCTATTCTTGCCATTTATCGAAACCAGTTTGAGGAGGCAACGATGTATATTGAAAAAGCGCGGAATGGACTCGACACCGAACTTTCAGCATTACTCGGTGAATCATATAACCGTGCTTATAATGTCGTCGTCCGCGTTCAGATGCTCGCTGAACTCGAGGAGATCATTACATACAAGCAGAATATCGGTGATCCAGAGAAGCAGGATTCCATGCGTCAAACATGGAATAAACGATTACTTGGCTGCCAACAGAATGTTGAAGTATGGCAGCGCATGCTCAAGGTTAGAGCACTTGTCACGTCCCCTCGGGAAAACCTTGACATGTGGATTAAATTCGCCAATCTTTGTCGCAAATCCAATCGAATGGGGCTTGCTGAGCGGTCTCTAGCATCGCTGGAGACTGTTGTTTCTGATAACAACGGTACCCGGGCTGTTGCTCCTCCAGAGGTCACATATGCTCGCTTGAAATTCAGCTGGGCTACTGGGCGACAGCGTGAAGCTCTTCAGATGCTCAAAGAGTTCACTACAAGTCTCACCGAAGACTTCACGAGATTTAACGCTGTCATGATTTCACAGTCAGAGCACAATGGCGTTAATGGCGTTAACGGCATCCAAGATACAAACCATGGAGATATCATGGGGCTACGGGAACGTATTGGGGATGTCGCTAAGTTCAGAAGGCTCCTTGCTAAGAGCTACCTTAGGCAAGGCGAGTGGCAGACTGCTCTACAAAAGGGAGATTGGAAACCAGAGCACGTCCGGGAGGTTCTCAACGCATACTCTGCCGCTACGAAATACAACCGCGATTCTTACAAAGCTTGGCATTCGTGGGCATTGGCCAACTTTGAAGTCGTTACAACAATCGCCAGCCAAGCTAGCAAAGATGGCGCGACATTGGCCATGGTTCCTGGGCACATTGTAGCAGAGCATGTCATACCGGCTATTCGTGGTTTCCTCAGATCCATATCATTGTCGTCAACCTCATCTTTGCAAGATACCCTAAGGTTACTTACACTCTGGTTTACTCACGGTGGTGATCAGGAAGTAAATGCCGTTGTTACGGAAGGTTTCACGGCAGTGAATATCGACACCTGGCTCGCAGTTACACCTCAACTCATTGCACGAATTAATCAGCCAAACATCCGGGTCCGAAGCGCCGTCCATCGACTACTTGCTGAGGTCGGTAAGGTCCATCCTCAGGCGCTGGTGTATCCGTTGACCGTTGCGATGAAATCAAATGTTGCTCGACGGTCGCAGTCCGCAAGTAGCATCATGGACAGTATGCGGCAACACAGTGCAAAACTGGTCGAGCAAGCTGATCTTGTAAGTCATGAATTGATTCGGGTTGCCGTTCTATGGCACGAGCTCTGGCACGAAGGCTTGGAGGAAGCTTCCCGCCTCTATTTCGGTGACCACAATGTCGAAGGAATGTTTGCAACTCTTGCACCACTCCATGAAATGCTTGATAAGGGGGCCGAGACATTACGTGAAGTATCTTTCGCACAGGCGTTTGGTCGGGACCTTGCAGAGGCAAAGCATTACTGCATGCTATACCGTGAAACCGAAGAGATTGGTGACCTGAACCAAGCTTGGGATCTTTACTACACTGTATTCCGGAAGATAAGCCGACAGCTTCCGCAATTGTCTACACTTGACTTGAAATATGTCTCTCCCAAACTTAAAGACTGTACGGACCTTGATCTTGCCGTTCCGGGCACCTACCAGAGTGGCCGACCAATCATCCGTATCATGAGCTTCGATCCTATACTTCATGTCCTTCAAACCAAGAAGCGTCCACGCAGGATGACCCTGAAGGGTAGCGATGGCAATTCATACATGTACGCACTGAAGGGACACGAAGATATTAGACAGGATGAGCGAGTCATGCAGCTTTTCGGCCTCGTGAATACGCTCCTCGATAATGACAGTGAGAGCTTCAAACGCCATCTTTCAGTGCAACGATTCCCAGCCATTCCATTGTCTCAGAGCTCTGGTCTCCTGGGTTGGGTCTCAAACAGTGACACGCTGCACGCATTGATCAAAGAATACCGAGAGAGTCGCCGAATCCTCCTGAATATTGAACACCGTATCATGTTGCAAATGGCGCCAGATTATGACAACCTTACTCTCATGCAGAAAGTGGAAGTCTTTGGATATGCTATGGATAACACTACCGGAAAGGATCTGTACCGGGTCCTGTGGCTTAAGAGTAAAAGCTCAGAAGCGTGGCTGGACCGACGAACAAACTACACTCGGTCCCTCGGTGTCATGTCAATGGTGGGTTACATCCTTGGTCTGGGTGATCGTCATCCGTCCAACCTTCTTTTGGACCGGATTACTGGAAAGGTGGTCCACATTGATTTTGGCGATTGCTTCGAAGTTGCAATGCATCGGGAGAAATATCCGGAAAGAGTTCCGTTCCGGTTGACTCGTATGTTGACCTTTGCCATGGAAGTTAGCAACATTGAAGGAAGCTACCGGATCACGTGCGAGGCTGTCATGCGTGTCTTGAGAGAAAACAAAGACTCTCTGATGGCTGTTCTGGAAGCTGTAAGTTCTCAAAATTGTTCCTCGTATTGGTTCTACCGAATATTCGCATCTAACTTTTATTTTCTTGCAGTTTATTCATGATCCTTTGATCAACTGGCGTCTAGGAGTCCGTGAGTCGCCAGACAGGATGCCATTCTCGTCAGAGCGCCGGCAATCGATCATTGGTAATATCAACTCTGAACAGGGTGTCCAACCCAGCAACTTCTCCCGCCATCGACGGCCATCGATTCTTGAAGGCGGTATCCTTGATGCTCAGGAGGGCATACCAAATGAAGCCCGCGAAGCACAGAATGCACGCGCCTTACAAGTGCTAGCGCGAGTCAAGGAGAAGTTAACTGGCCGAGACTTCAAGCCCACTGAGGAGCTCAATGTCAGTGATCAGGTTGATAAACTCCTTGCACAGGCAACTAGCGTTGAGAACATTTGTCAGCACTGGATTGGATGGTGCAGTTTCTGGTGATCAATCAACATTGTTTTTCTTTGCGGGCTGTGTCTTCAGGCGTATGACGGCGCAAGTTGCGATATGACGGATTTTGCATGACACGGGTTGTTTTATATCTGAAGTTATTTTCGCCTGTAGAATTATTCTGTCCTATTGATTCCCGTTGCTATACTACGGATATGGGCAGTCAGGATCTGTGTTCATAATAATAACATCTGACGTTTCATGCTACGATCTACTGTACAGGAGTGAACCTGTCACAAACCGACTTAACATAATATGAGTGAGTCATTTCTTATACCGACGTAGCATCGCAGATATTAGAGAGTGCAGCTCAATGGGAGATTATCCATTGCCAATCAGCTTCCGTTATTGACAAATACTATGGTAGCTGACTGGCCATAAGAAACGAAATATAGACCAGGAGTATGAGTAACATAGCCAATGAGCCTGTGGCGGGTGACGCGTAGAAATATTACCCCCAGTTCAAGATCCCGTATCTCGCCGGTGCCCTACATGAGGGAATGGAATCCTCGTAGCATCGAATTGGCTCGGATAGAAGGCAGCGTAAATATCGCACTTGGATTTACCTCGGAGATTGTTGTTCCGATTATTGTTCATTATGCCACCGAGAAGCAAAAGTCGGATGGGCTCTTGATCTGTGAAAAACTTCACTCGGTACTTTGTCTGCCTGTTACTTATAAGTAACTCCACTGAGCATCAAAGCATCTCATTATCATTGTACCGCAGGTACCGGGGGAGGAAACTGTGAACAGAGCAACTTTGTTTGGTTATATCAAACGAAGTGACTAAGTTCCCCCGAGCCTTAGCACAGGTGCCACTACTACCAACGAGGGGAGTACATTTCTGGTAACGTTTATTCAAAGTGGGACATCACACAAACTATGGTAGAAGTTCAATGCTCCTAAGGCACAGTTGATATACGACCCACGAGAGACGGTCCTGAGGGCCATAGCAGACAAGAAGATGAAGAATATCAGGAAGCAAGCGAAGTGGGCTGAGGGTATACACTATTTAAAATTTAAATCTTCTGTGCCTCTTGCCTCCACTATCACACTACACGTTTCTCTACTGGATGTAAGTATAGGTAAGGATTGTAGGGTGAGTGTTTCGAGCTTGTCAATATCTAAATAGCACTCTACCTGTCCGCCATGGCGGCTTGCAGGAGCGCAGGGCATCTTTACGTTACATTGTCTCTGGGGTAAAAAAAAAAAAAAAAAAAAGGAAGACCTCGATGTTAGCTTATCCCATATTAAAAAGGACGATAATGGGACAGACGAGTTCCTATCGCCCCAGTCCATGTTTAACTTGGTTCAAGTATCCAGTAAGCGAGCTGTGACACTTCGGAATTGTTAATGGGCTGGGGTTCGGGTCCAGCATTTCAATAAGGATATCCCGACCCGAGGGTTCGGGGCGGGATTCCGCGGATAGATAGCCTTCTTCCTCCATCACCAATACAATCACGAATCGCTGACATCGCACTTACAAGTATTATATGGTTGGAAAAGGCCATTAGGGGAAGAAGTCGTTGATTGATTTTATCTAAGCGATTCTGCCTAGATGACTAGTCATGTGGGTGCCCTTTAGATTGAGACCAGTCGGCGAGACCATGGCTCGGTCAAGACGGGGTGCCGAGTACTCAAGCCTCCAAGCAATTGAACAAAAATAGCGGCGGCGTTTTCAGTATATGATTGGACAGCCGCCGCCGTTTGTCTGGTCGAAGCAATTACGGGGAGCGGCGACTCTCCAATCAGATGCTAAAAACGCCGCCGTCCCACTTGTTAGCTTGATGCTTTGGTTGAATCTTGAATGCCCTTCGGCGTGAGGAACGGGGTCTGGGGCCCCAGCATGGCAGATATCCTCGGCAATCAATTGATAATTGACGAATTACACCGTGCGACATTTTAATCCATGTCTTAACGCAATCGTGCCATACCGGTGAGGAAGGGTTTCGGCTTTCCCGGGCTAGAAAACCGGGTCCGGGTGAGTGCTTAGCCTGCTTGGTTCGGGATTCCCGAAATAGCCCCAGTGTTATCCCAGGTTCCAGTTGTAAACGAGATAGTGGGGTTTAGATGTAGCTAGTAGTTGTTTCTGGTTTATTGGATGGTGTGTTCGGTGAAGAGTTGACCGAACTGGAGGGTGGTCTGGGGTGGTGGATCAAGGAGTGTGTGGATGAGTCAATGGCTCATGTAAAAAACAGATGTAGTTGGTTAGATGCTGCTAGGGATAATATGCGTGAACTGGGAGATTGTCTGCCTTGAATTGACTAATTATCATATAGCATACATTGCGGAGGTGTTGTAATCTGATATGGGCGTACGAAGTACAGTAGTAGACTGTAGACCAAAAGAAGGGGTTACACCTTCTCCTTGTTCTCACCAAACTCCACATGATCTGTTAATGCCCTTTCTTTCTCCATCGCAACGGCTGCTCCTTCTGGGTCCTGCAATGCATGCGGCACGATCTGGTCCCCGAAGAGCTCGTCCATCTGCTCCAGTGTGCGGCCCTTAGTTTCTGGGTAGAAGAACCAGTAGCACACAAAAGCAATAAGATTCAGCGCGAAGAAGAGATAAAAATACTTGAAACCGACAGAGTCAAGTGCGTTTGGTGAGAATTGGGCAAAGACCAAGTTGACCGTCCAGTTAGTGAAGGTTGTGATCGCATTACCCAAGGCTCGAACCTCAACGGGGAAGATCTCGGCAGGGTAGACCCAAGATATGATACCCAATGGTGTATAGAACAAGCTGAAGACAAAGTTCATGGCCACCATGGAGCGCAGTTGGTTAACATTGTTCTGATCCATGTATTGTGCTTGCACTGCGTTGACTAGTAATGACAGCGCAAGGCCAGCAGCAGATATGAGTAAAGGTCTAATACGGCCAAACTTATCCAGGAGATAGAGCCCGATAGTACAGTAGACAACTGAAAGGGCTCCGCTGATACCGATGATCATAAGTGAGGTTTGGTTGTCAATACCTAGAATGTTGTAGATCGTCGGCCCATAGCTAGACCGCTGTCAGTTGCTGCATCTTTGCTTGTACTAAAAATTGCTGAGCGACTTACTAGTTGATAACGTTTGTGCCAGATAGGGGACCAAAGGCTTGAACACCGCAACCAAGCAGTAGTCGACGACGCCAGGAAGGCTTCGAGATGATAGACTTCCAGGTAACCTCGCCCATTGCGCGGTCTGCCAAGATAACATCACGAATTTCTTGGAATTCCAGCTCAATCAACTCGGGATCTTTCCCTTTTCGGAGACTCATGAGCACCTGTCTTGCCTCTTCTTGACGATCCTTCTCCATAAGCCATCTAGGAGACTCATTGAGGAACCAGATGCCCACCACTAGGATTATACCAGGAAGACATTGGAACGCCAACGGGAAGCGCCCTAAGAAGTTGTTTGCTTAGTGTCCTCCCGGAGATATAGCAAAATAGTAGAAAATGCCAAGAGCTTGGAATCAACCTTACATGAGAATTCTGTCTTGTTGAAAGAGCAGCCATATCCTAGCCACTGGGCTATGAGATAGCCCCAACTCAACATCCACTGTAGTAAGCCGGATAATGAAGCACGCATTTGAGGTTCAGAGAGCTCCGAGGCATACATGGGGATAGTAGCAGTAAGCATGCCGACTGCTACTCCAGCAATGAATCGGCCTATAATCAACATCGACATGGCCACGGAGCCGGCTTGAATGGCACATCCCACACAGGAAACTATGGCACCGGCCAAGATGGAGTACTTTCGACCAATCCGATCCGCAAAAACCATATTAAACATTGTTCCTGCGATAGCACCACCCTGAAATGAAGACACTACACCACCGGTTACCGTGCCACTCGGATTGCCAAAGTATTCCTTGAATGTGGCCAAGGATATAGTTGAAGTGATGATACCGCTATCATAACCGAAGAGGAATCCTGCAGTGCCCTGTGATCAGCAACATGATGATATCTCAAGTAAAGGGATTCAGAAGTACCTCCTACGGCCAGGAAGAGAGCCGAGAATATTGTTTGTGCATGCCCCATGTCTAATGCTGTGACCGGTCCACTGCTATAGTACTAGTTTGAAGTGTTTGACAGTCATGCATCTAGGACATCAAGAAGAGGCCAAATACAAGACTACTTAAACCCGTCGTTCACTTGAAGGCAACGAACCCCAGACCGGGGAAGAGCCCACGGGGAAACTACGGACAACATTAAACCGAACTAAGACTGTGGAGAGAGACATGGCGTGGCACCGGCCAGGCACTAGAGATGGGCTAGCGGGCCCCGTCGCAACCGTATTTCACTCCCGAAAATGGAGCCCTCCGAGGGCTAGAAGAAAAAGAGTCACGCCGTTAGGACGCCATCATGATGCTGGTTCGGTAAGAAAGAGTCCGACGGCATCCCTGCAATTATTAAGAATATTTTGAAGGTCCGCAACCATTCGGCAAGTCCACCGGTGTGACTTGTGCCGACAGCAACGGCTGGCACAGTTCGTGTCCACCTTGAATTATTTTACAAGGCGTGGTCTCGCACAAATTTTGCATCTCCGTTGAACTAAGTCGTTTGTCTAGGCAGCACCTGCTTACCGCCGTCATGGAATTCACTCGCTGTGGCATCCATGGCTTCCATGAAGTCATCGGTATAGACACCGATGAGATTAGATTCTTCTGGGCTTTACACGCCGACAACGAGTATGCCAGACAGACAGCCTATCGGGTAGTTGTGTCCACCGACCGTGATAATTTGGCATCGAGTGGTGTATGCTGGGACTCAGGGCGTGTTGAGAGTGATGCTCAGAGAAACATCAAATGCATTCCCAACCAGCCTTTCCAGTCGACCACTTTCCATTATTGGAAAGTGACTGTATGGGACGAAAATGGCATTCCATTTGAAAGCTCTGTGAACGAGTTCTATACCTCATATCCGCGCTCATCGGGGCTGTTACCACCGTACAGCATGAATCAGACATATGTAAGCATACCTAGTTGTCATTGGCTGACCTGAACTTTTTACTCACTACGCCAGATGCCACACAGTAGTCTCATATTCCGGACTTGGTTTGAGGACGAGCCCAACCGATGGAAAGCGGTTTGGGTGGGTGATGGCGGAGACAAGCCCATCTATTTAAGAAAGTCTATTCAGCTTGCTCGACAGCCCTCTCGAGTCGTTGTATTTGCATCGGGACTGGGACATTTCAATCTCACCGTCAACGGAAAGGCAGTA